GTTAACTCAGAAAGGAAAAAAAGATCATAAAAACCAAATATATGAAACTCTAATGTTCTTAAGTGTTAATGTAGTATCATATAGACCGGATGTTCTATATCAGCGTTTCTTCTTCCTATTCTCTGTCCCTCAGTCACAGATCCGCGATCTGATTCTTGTCAAGTTTACATTTCCGCAGGTACGATCTAGTGGTTTGTGGTTTGTGTATGCTAGGTTTTATTGATAAAGCGGTTTTTTTTACAGATCTGCTCTAAAGATTTTTCTTGCCAAACCAAACCGACGCGATGGATATCTCGTTTCTGAGGATCTTTGTGATGTTTTCCCTGATCATCACATTTGCTCGCTCAGCCTTCATTCAGGTTCTAATCTATAAATATTAGGTTTAGTGTAATTGTTTAACTCTTTTGAGTATTGGCTATTTGATATAATAAACGAGTACCCATGCATGCTTAGTCGATTTTAAATAAGTATTGCAGTATCAAACACTCTCCCGTTAGCTCCGACGGAGAAGATGTCATTTGTTTTGACAAAAAGAAGCAACCAGTCTTTGACAATTAACTCCTAACGAATCACATATTTTAGGTCTTTTTTAGTTTTGTGATTTTGTCTCGATTCTATATTATTCCATGTTAAATATTTTCTAAGGAAACTAATGCTTTTTGTGGAAAAAATAGGAGTGGCCATCTGTGCCTCACAGATCCGTGATCTGATTCTTGGCCCATCGGAAATGCCTAGAGTGATCGGAATCAAAAATATATGTACTAGATATAATTTAACTATCTAAACGTATCTGAATATAATAATTTTATTTTTTTCTCTTAATTTTTCCTTAAATTTTGTTAATCTTTTGCTTATGTTTTGCTTATATTATGTTTTTGAACTTTAACAAAAAAACTATTTTAACATAATACATATTACATAAATATTAATTTTTTGCGTACTGGTTTTGAATTTTTAATAATTGAATTAACTACATTTAGTTGACTAATATATATGCCAAAATATTAACATGAGAAAAATTATTTAATTAGTTATTAATAATACAAAAATGAAAGGAAATGTAGAAACTTTATTAAAATCGATGATTATAATGAAAAAACAATAAAAATTTTATTTTAAATTTTGATGAATACGCACATCAAAATAAAATGAAAACGAATACGAAAATTTTAAAAGTGAATAGGTAATCATGAAGAAAAGAACAAAAATTAGAAAGATGTCTTGTGAGGGTCATTCGAACTGAAATAAGGGGAGTCGATGCTCTATTACAACTATTGGCTAAAGAAATTGATAATACCAGTGTCAACTGACCCTCTTTTACCTACGTATGTCTGCCACTGATCTAAATGATTTCAAAAGGCAAAAGACTTACACACGAAGCACAAGTAAGCACCGCCAAATACCTGGAAGGGACCGTACCAATACGGTCCGACAATGGCACTGCAAATCATCGGACCAAACTCTCCACTAACTATACCCCCATGACATGAGGTAATTAACTTCTAGAACCCAACTATTTATCATGTGAACAAACAGTTTTTTTTTAAAAACTCTTTAATATTAACTACTGCATTCTCTTAAGATCTTTTACAATATATTAACCCTAAATATATATATATATATATATATATATATATATATATATTTAAAATATACCATTTTGATTTCTAAGATCTTTTGCAATATATGAATCCTAAATATATTTTTTGTCTTTAACGCATCCATTCGGTTTACTAGCCTAGTAAACTATTAATGGATCATATTCGGTTTTACAACCCGAGTAATAATTATGGGTCATAGACTAGTGTTGTAGCAGAAATGGAATCGACTAACCAAAAGTATATGGCTGATCTCAGTTTGTACATAAATATTAAAAAACTTGGGAAAACGACGTATTCCCCCCCCCCCCCTTTCTCAAGTTTCATATATAGTAACAAAACTACACAAATTTCCAACTTTGTCCTAGATCTACCTCTGAGAAAATTTGTGAACCCAATTCCATCCAATTAGAAACTTCGAAACGTATATAGCCCTGGTTATTACTGGTTTGTGAGTTTAACCGTATACAAAACCGTGTTTTTTGAATCCAGACCGGTTTTGAAAACCCGACCAAACTGACCTCGATCAATAACCTGACCTATAACCCGACCCAACACAAATCCTCTATTCGTTACAATTTGAAAAATCCCCAAATCAATCCTCAAATCAATCGAGGAACCCTAGATCATATCAGGTGGTCGAGAAAGAAGAAGAAATAAGAAGAAGAAGATGAACAACAAATCTGGTGCTTCGAGTATCACATCAGGTGGTCGAGAAGGAAGAAAAAGTTTGGGTGTGTCAAAAAGATGTTGTTGTGGGGAAGTAATCATCGCAAGAATATCGAAGTCTGATTCCAATCCGTATCGGAGATACTATCGGTGTGCATTTGCCGTTGAAAAAAACGTACACTGCTATGTGTCTTCTTGTAAATGTGAAATGATTTTTCTTTACGTAAATTTTGATTACAGTCATTATTATCGGTTTTTGTAGCTTTCAAATGATAGTCACATTTTCAAGTGGGTCGATGAGGCATTGTTGAATGAGATAGATGCATTGACATTAAGAACTAAAAAAACTTGAACAAGTGGTGGCAGACATTACGAGTAGGTCTATGGAGGCAGGGAAGAAGATGTTTGAAGATCTCCAAATGAAGCTAGAGAAAGAGAATTTCAAAAGAGTGGAAGAAGTTTATACCTGAAGCTAAATCCGAGATGAAGAAAATAGTGTTACTTGTCTGTTTTGGATGCATGATTGTTGTTGGGTGTACCAAGCTTGTAGGTTGATGCTTTGTTAGCAAGCTTGTAGGTTGATGCTTGAAAGCTTTGTTATATTTTATCATTGTTGCTACTTGAGCTTGTGATTTGTTATCAATTTGTGTTTTGTAATTTGAGACCCTTGTTATTTGGCAAAAAGGATTATCAATTTGTGTTTTGTTATTTGAAAATTTGTGTCTCTCAAACCTGATTCAATATAGCTAGAGCATCAATATAACTAGAGCATCAATATAATAGACATATGTCTGATTATTATATCTAAAAGAGGTCCAAAAACAACCACAACATAACTAGAAGACATTGCCGCAAAAACAAGCTGAAGGAGGTCCAAAAAAACAGTCATACAATAGATTGAAAACAGGTTCTAAAAGCATCAAAAGAAAACATTTCTTCACTTTCAAAGCTGAGTGAGAACTACTTGTGATGATTCCACTTGAGATGGGGATTCAGGTAAAAGAACCTGAGAAAATCAAAGAACAATAAACATTATCATAAAACTCATAGATCAAATGCATAAGAAAGAAAGAAGAATGGGAATAGACATTACCATAGCTGATGATTTCTTCTTTTCATTATGCCACCGAGAGTTGTGTCCTCCTTGTCCACAAATTCTACAATGCATAGTTCTCCTCTTCAACAATGGGTCTGCCTTCTTCGTGGGAGACTCATTCTTCCCTCTCTTCCTCTTTTTATCCTCCTTTGTAACCTTATCTTTATCCTTCTTCCGACCAAGCATGTTTGGGCCCTTAGGGTGAACTATCGGTGGTTCTTCTCCAACATGCCAAAATATAGCACTTCTAACTAGAACAATACCATCTACATAGAGTCTCGTCCACTTATCTTCCTAAACCAATGACAAACATAGTGTTGAGCTTCAAATCCCCTGCGGATCATCACACCATACACATGCTCACAAGGGATACCAGATATTTTCCATCTTCTGCAGCTACAAGTTCTATTAGCCAAGTCCACTTGGTGAGTACATCCATCGATTATCGAAACAAATTGCATGTTAGTGGATGGTCTAACAAAGCATTCTGAACCTTTGTCATGCAACTCTTCTAGGTATTTCTTCACATATGGAGTATAAAAGCCATCGTAGTTAGTGGCTTCGACATCCCTTTTGGCTATACGAACCATTACCAATCTTGCAATAGTCTCTAGCATAGGCACTAATGCCTTATTCCTTGCTTTACCTGAATAGAAAAATTAAAAATACATTCCCCAAATATATATCATAGCTATTTTTATTCGAATATAGAGCATGATTCAACTGAATTCAAATATAGAGAATGATTCGAATACATGCCTATGGAGTTGTTAAATGATTCAACTGAATTGTTCTCCACATCCTCACAATAAGGTCTAAATTTGTAGAATGCGCTGCACAATGTCTCTGGTTTGTTTTCAGCAAATCTCGGTGCACAACTTCATCATATAGCTCTATCTTCCGTAAATTCTCCCTAAATTCTTGCTCATTGTAGCTCCAAGCCAAATGCCAAATCAAACCCTTCAACTCTGGATTCTTTGCATGTCGAGACTTCAAGTTCATATAAATGTGTCTTGTACACATTCGATGCTTAATCCTTGGCAGGATTTACTTAACAGCACTGATCAATTCCTACAAAAGAAAACGAATTAAGTAAGGATCTATACAGATGAAATAGGCAGAAATAAGCAATAATCTTACTACAAGTTTCACCTTTTGGCGATAAGAGATTAAAAAATAAGCATCTCCATCTTCTAATCCTAAATCATGCTTGATCTTACCAAAGAACCAACCGCAATTATCAGCATTTTCGTTCTGAACTACAGCCCATGCGACTGGGTAGATCCGATTGTCTGCATCTCGACCATTTGCAACAAACACTCCCTTGTGGACAGTTTTTAAGAAACAACCATCCACTCTTATCATCGCTCTACAATTTTCTTTCCATGATCTTCTGAGGTTCTAAAAACAGACATAGAACCTTTGAAAGACATGTTTACCTTCTTCATTTATTACGCAATCAACCTCCACAGAAGATCCAGGTTTAGAGACTTCTATCTCTTTTGCATAATCCCGAAGATGTGAAAACTGCTCCTCATACTCTCTTTCATTCCATCGCGGAGCTTTATTCCGGGCATGCTGGCATTGAGGCCTTGACACACATATCTTCCAGTTCTCCATAACCAATTCCTCAATCTTCATAGGCATGAAGTACAATCTGGTTCTTCACGAATCTTGTCTACAAACAAGCAGGCAATCACTGACACCTTGAACATCTGACAAACTCCATTGAGAACATAACAATGAGCAGACTCAAACACCACAACCTCCCACATTGTATTGTTACCTGGTCGAGAGCAGTAGATGAGCCATGAACAGTTATATCCCTCACACTTAAACCTAAGCTTCTTCTTCTTCTTATACCTGTACTGATTCAGATTATAACCATTCTTCAGAACATAGTCTAAGACAGCCTCCTTGAATGCTATACCACTGATGAAAACTTGTCCCAAGTACAAGTTTCCATTTCTTCTTCGAAAATTTTCACGCCTCCGAGCTTTCAGTAAAGTCGCATCTTTTCCATCCAGGTCGGGGTACACATTCTGCCTTATAGAAGGCTCATCTTCAAACGCAGCTACATCTTCCTCGATGTTGAAGTTGTTACGCTCCCTAAGATCTTCACCGTCAGAATCATATCCAGCTTGCCACTCCATTATCGACATTTGCAAAAGAAATCAAAGGTTGAGGTGGAATCGGGATTATGGTTTGATTCGGGATTGAAGTTTGATTCAGGATTGGGGTTTGATTCAGGATTGAGGTTTCAATTTAGTGTTTCTGATTTGAGGATTGAGGATTTTTGATTTAAGGTTCTTCAGGATTTAGGATTTGGGGGAGGTGATAGTTTAAACGTGATCGGGTTTAGGTCGGGTTTTTGGTCAGGGTTACGGGTCAATTTTTGTAATTGGGTCAAATATTACAGGTCAATATTGGTTTAAACGTTTAATCGGATTTTAATTCGGTAAATGTCGGTTTTAAGTGGCTAAGACACTTTTTGGTAAACAATAAACCTATCGGGATTGAAGTTTGATTCTGGATTGGGGTTTGATTCAGGATTGAAGTTTCAATTTAGTGTTTCTGATTTGAGGATTGAGGATTTGGGGGAAGTGATAGTTTAAACGTGATCGAGTTTAGGTCGGGTTTTTGGTCAGGGTTACGGGTCAATTTTTGTAATTGGGTCCAAGATTACAGTTCAATTTTGGTTTAAACGTTTAATCGGATTTTAATTCGGTAAATGTCAGTTTTAAGTGGCTAAGACACTTTTTGGTAAACAATAAACTGACGTTAATCCGGGTCTGGGTGTATATTAGTATTGAACTTTAATTTCAGGGCCATATACGTATTTAAATTTCTAACTGAGTGGAACTGGGGGGAGTGAATACGTCGTTTTCCCAAAAAAATATGTAATGAGTAAATCCACATCCTATGATATGCTGATGTACCTATTGCTAAATTTTAAGCAAAAAGTACAACCAAATCAAATAAAAATCAAGTTGTGATCAAGGTTGTCCACTTCTGTTTTTCATTGTAGACATAAACATATTTAAAACCAAAAATCGAATCATAGTATTAAAACTGCAGTCAAACTAATTATATAATTTTACAACTTCATTGTTACATCATTTTAAACTTGTTCATCTTTGTGTTTTTATGTTTACTAGGATACTGGCCTGCACGCATGTGCGGGCCTGCACGCATGTGCGGGCTTGAACGTTTTTTTTTAATTTTAATTTTATTGGGTCGAATTTTACAATATTGATAATTGTCAGTGTGTGTGGGTACAATGTTACTAATTTTGGACCGAATGGTATTTTATTAGTATAAGAATTGGATTGTGTTTTAAAATTGGCTCATATTTGCAGTTATAAATTCTATGTAATTATAATTAGGTATGTATAATGAAAAAATTGTAGATGAAGAATACATGTAATTATGAATACATACATTAATTTTATGTTTTTAAGTCATTCATCGAAATGTGACATTTATGAACATATTTTATAAATTATATGCGAAGATGTATTCATTTATTTTGAAATGTATATTCTTTCGGAATTTGTGATAAATCAGTCAAATGATATTTAATATGTTTTAATTATAAACGACTTTTGGGAAATATGAAACACAGGGAAGAAAAATGAGAAGTCACTCTCTAAAAATTCTATAAATACACACCAGAGAGAATTTTGATCAACTAACCCAGCAAAAAATTACTCACTCAAACACAACCCATACTACAATTATTCTTCTGATGTGATCCTTTCACAAACGTACAAAAAATATATTTACATGAAAGAAAAATACATGTTTTCCTACATAACATTTCTTGTGCATCTGTGTAGAATCACATCAGAAGAAGTAGTTTATTCACTGTGTCGCCATATAGTTATTGTAATTATATTACTTGTGAATGCTCACTTTCGACAGGAAGTATACTGTTAGTAGTTTATACCAAATTCTGGATAGAGTATTGACAGTGTACTTCTTGTAGAGTGAGATACAAGTAATTTTGCTCAGTAGGTAAACAGAAATGTATACCGTTTTCCATAAGTTTTTGCTATTATAGATTTTTTATTATTCACTGGAATTTTTAGAAAAAACTCTAATTATGTAGAAAATTGTTATTTACCTCGAATAAGATCCAATATTGTGTAAGAAATACGTATGTCGAAAATTATTATTTACCTTGAATGAGATCCAATATTGTGTAAGAAATACGTACCTTTTAATTGGGATTTTTTAAGTTGAACTATAATGATTTTCCTAATTTCTCGGATTGTTAGATTTATTATTTGTCATTTGCAATTATCTAAAATAAAAAATTGCATTTTTCTATATTATGTATTTCAGTTAAAACTGAAATTTTAAAAAGTGGTTTAATTTTATCAGAGATTTCCAAAATTTGAGATTTAATTTATCATATTAACAATTAAGTTACAATTAATCCGCATCAACAATACTTTAAACTTACAATGATAACAGTTTATTCACTAAATTATAAATTATAAGTTACGCTATATTTAATAAAATGTTAATTGGTTGACTCTTGTATTAATTATGTAATATGTAACGGTTGCAAATGTAGTATTTAGTAGATGATTTACCTTAGTATTTCATATATTCAACATAAAAAGTACTGTAAAAAATGAAGACGATTAAAAAACAATAAAATGAAAGTAACTTATTGAAATAAAGATTCAGCATGCAGTTTTAAAACTAAAATTAAGAAAGACATATAAATCTAATTGACCGGGAATAAGCCCCTTGCATAGCAAACTTCTCTGAAGGTGTCGTATACAACACCATTAAATGTCGGATATCTTTATTACTGCGAGGACCTCTAATGATATTCAACAGATAACTCAAATAAAAAAATCTCCCCATCATAAATTGAATACTGTTGAAGAATAGTTGGATTTCCTAAACCCTTCACCCGTGGCTTCCACTCATGCAATATGGCATTCCAGACAAATTGATTAGATAATTCAGTGTAGAGCAGGAATCTGGAAGTTGCATATATCTTGTTACACTCCATCCAAGCAATAAATTTTCTACATTAGTTTGTCGACCTTGTTTCGTTTTTCAGAATTTGTTCTTAGTAGATGAAATTGAATAATTTTTGAAAACAATCATAAAGAACTTGTTAAAACAGTTAAAATTAAACAAATAATATCTGCTAATAAATTATAAAGGGTAAGTCTCTATAGTTCTATTAAAAGAATTCTTAATAAATTAAAGTTGGATGCAGAAGGCTTACCTATCTTGTTCATAGCAGTAGAAATAGAGAATATTGAGAATTTTTATTCAGTGTAACAAATGAAGTTGCAGTTCACAAAAGTATGATGTGAATATATAGATGGATTAAATAGAGCATACACAAATATACGAATATGTTAAAGATTGCAATATGCATCTGGTTTTAGAAAGTAATGACACTATCTAAATACCCTTCATATTATATTTATAAAAATCTCGAATATATGGTTAGATAATTCAATTTATAATAATTGCTTCATAAGAATATTAGTTCGAAATTATCGGAGCACAATATTATGTTACCATATATTGCGGTTTAAATCAAACTGTAAAGAGGAAAATCCAAAATTTTCAATATTTTTGTATCAGCTAAGTTGTGTGAATTGGACGAAGAAGACTTCTGTAAATATTATGTCCATATATCAAAAGCGAAAGTCAAAAAGTCAAACTGGTTGGTTAAACAGTATTCCCAAGAAAACATAGAAATTTGGTGACATTAAATATTTATTAACTACCCTATCCTATATAAAATAAGAGTTGCTTCGATTATAAACATACTTCTTTAAATTTTCTCGGTAACCCTAAACGCCTGATAAGAGATTAGACAAAAATGGAGAATCACCGAGAAAAACGTTATGATGAAAACGGATTTCTGAGAATTAATCCACCACCATTGAACATGAGATTTGGTGTGGAATAAACACCATCACCTCCTCCAATTTCTGAATCAGAGATGGAGGAAACTAATATGTGGGAAGAGATGAATGACTTTCTGAGCAAATCAACTGCGAAGGCCATCAAAGTTTCTTCTGAGGTAATTTAAAATTTAAATTATTCGGTTTTATTGATGATTTCTGTATTATTGGATGTTTATATCAATATGTAATATCTGCAGCCTGATGAAGAAACATCGACTGATGATCCAAAGGAACGTTGCAAGAACGGAAAACACAATCTCCATCTAGATCTGGAGATAGGTTTGAAATGTATAGAATGCGACTTTATTAAGACAGAGATCCGCTACCTAGATACATCTTCGTGGGTAAGCTGTTAATATTCTATTAATACATTAATTTTTTTAACTAATATGTTTGAAGTTAACAACATTATATGTTTTTGAATCTTATAGGCACATAAGAATAAACGTGGAAGGAGAAACTTTGGAGTTTAGCTAAAATTATCTCTGTTTTTTTTTGTACCTTAATTATCTCTCTCTATTGGAATTATCTAAGCATGTTTGCTACAATAAGTTGTATTATCTTAAATTTAAATAAAAAAGAATTAATTTTCCAAATCACTTTTTCATATATGTGTATTAATTCGTAAGATTATAAGCTCATCTGGTACATTGATTATAATCCACAAACATTAAAACATCGATAATTTATATAATATTTTACACTCAACTCTAAATGTTATAAGAAAAGCTTAACGTCAGTTGTCAGCACTGAAATGAAAACGTCAATCGGAATTAATTTCAGTTTACTCTTACACGTAAAGTTGTTAATAGATCAATAGTGAGCATTGGACAAAAAAAAAAAATTAATAGTGAGCATTGGATGAAATTGCCTAAGAATCGTTATAGTTGCATCGTTTGGCATAATTATAAAGAAGGAAATTCATAAAAGTTCGTAATAAATGCAACATCGAAGTCTACTTACATAAATTTTTATGGTACTAAAATTGGCATAATATAAAAAATGGCCGTTACTATATTGTAGTAGTATAATTTGTTAATGTCTTATTATTATGAAAATGTGCAATATTCGATGGAATAAAATGTCTATAAAGAAAGTAACCTTTCAAAAATCAAATGAATTCTATATATAGATGGTATATGTTATATCCCAAACTATACATATATACATGTAAAATATATAAATAATAAATACAATGATAT